CAACGGTGCATGTGCAGGGGCATTATTAGAATATTTATAGACACCTTATGTCTGCTTGCATGAATGTTGTGAATCCGGTGGCGTGGCGCAGCAGCTTCTGAATAGAACTGTTCGCTGTTTTATACAGGTAGACTATTATGCACTATTTATTGCTTTCTGTAGGTGGATCATAGTACACCAACGAATGTCCTGCTTTGCCAGTAGATGTTGCTATCTACTGTAGTTTCCTTGCATCATTCTTATAGGCGGTATATTAAGTGTATAATAGGTTTCCTACAGCAGCTCGTAGGAACTTGCATTTGTCGCATTCTTCATGCATTTCGCTGTGATTTTGGTCCTCACAATACATCCACTATTGTTGCAGGTAGATGTATTCATTCGTAGACTGAAGTTAAATACAGGATACTGCATTTACTGAAGTCTTTCTATATCTACCTATAGGTGGCACGTTGTACATATATTTATATCTGTAGAGAGGTTGTATGTATTACAGATCTTCCATCCTCACTTATGGAAGGTTTAGTGTAATCGCTTAACACTAAATTCTTATTGATAGCAAGTACAACTTTAACATTTACTGCATGACGTTTATTGTCACCCATAGTACTTTGTAGGTGCATGTATCTGCTACATTCTGCCTGTCTCTATTTGTTGAAGATTTGCAACGAATCAATTACACTTACTTATTGCTCAATTGAAGGCCATGAGTCATCTCAATTTTGTTGTTTGTCTCTCATATGTGATTACTACTCGTCGATGTTTACTCATAGGGATCATTGTATTTACTTAAGTGATTGATACGAGCTTTGTATGTCAACTGCCACCACTTGTAAGTGGAATGTTTGCTAAAGGTTTTGCACTTTAGCCTGCAATCAAGCCACATATTCCTTTTAAACTTTCATTGTTTGCAAAGTTCGATAGGCATGTTTGTATATGTTGGTCTTGATTATAAAAATGTCATCACATTCGTAGGTAGACCCCTGTATGCCTGATTTGCTCATGGATGCTCATTTGTACCATAGATCAATCATGCTTGTTGATATACAACACATTGTATGTTGGTATTTACATTCTTGAAGGCCTTCAGCATTTGAAGAGAACCATAGTCTTCATCTATTGATTGATCATCACTATTGGAAGGGATATCATACACTGCATCATATGCATTTACTTGTCACTTGTATGCACTTAAGACTTAAATCTCATGAGTCCTTAGTTGTTCAATTTGTTGATATTCATTTAATGCCTTGCCTCATCATTCTTTTGAGTTGAAATTTATTCACATCGAGTTCACTGTAATTCATTTTGAGTCTAAGCTCACAAGCCCTTTTGTTTTTCTTTTTTAATCAAATCAAGTCTTCTTGATCAAGTTCGATTTAAGATTTTGTTCATTTATTTAACATTGAACTTAGTTCATTCAATGTTCAAGTTCAATGTCCAAGATGAGTCCAAATTTGAATCTGCCTTCGAGTCCATCGTCATTTTGGTTTGAGTTCATGTCCACTACAGTCCCAAATCAAGTCAAGTTTGAGTACACTGTAGTTTATATGAGTTCAAAATTTGCATGATTGTTCAAATCAAGTTCAGGTTCAAAATGAGCCTCTTCCGCTCGAGTCCCCTGTTGTCCTTGCAAGTTCAAGTTTCACTTGATGTTATACAAGTACATATTTCAAGTTTAAGTTCATTTTCAAAGTCCAAAATTATGTCCACTTAATATACAATCAAATTCAACTTGAATTTAGATTCATCCGTATTTGGTTCAATTTTGACTTTAAGTCTTTGTGATTTGTTCAAATTCAAATTCATTTGAATTTGAATTCATTAAGGTTAATTGCATCAAGTTCTCAAGTCCCCTATATTCAAATAAAGTCACATTTTGTGTTCAAGTTCTTGTCTTATTTCAGACAAAATTTTGGCAACCTCCCGGCGTATCCCTTGTTTAGGGGAAACTACAAGAAATTGGGCCTCCCACCACGCTAGAGAAAAGCGTGCACAGTTAGCGTCATAAGACACCACGGCAGTAATTTTCGTCCCCCACCATGCCATAGAAAGGCATGCATGGGTCTTCGGGCACCGTTTTAAGAAAAACAATTTTATATTTGACCCCATCCCGCAACACATCGTCGTAGGCGTCGCACGGGTTCCCCTCACAACCACGCTAGAGAAAAGGGTAGCATGAGTTAGTTTTTCCGTGCCACTGCTCAACGCCGGAAAATGAGTTTTGTGATTACCCGCCCCGTCGCAAAGCATCGCAACGCGAATTTCCCTCCTGCCAAAAGCTAGAGAAAAGCGTGCATCGGCTGGTCGTTCACCGCGTTGCAAGCGCCGACGAGAACAGTTTATTCAAAAGTTTTAAGGTTTGGGAATTATACCTTTGTATAAGCGCGAGTGGAGTGTAGTAGCTCGAGGTGAGAGGGCATGGTCTCTCTTCCTTTTTATTAATTATAAAATTAATCATAATTAATTATAATATTCCAATTATTATAAATTATCCCTAAGTTAATTATAAGTTTATTATAATTAATTAAAAATAATTAATTACAAATAACCTTAATTAATTATAAATAATTAATATTAATTAATTTATTTAAAAAAATGAATAAGTAATCATAATTGAATTAATATTAACTTCAATTTAAAATTAATTCATAATTAATTATTTAAAATTAATTCACTAATAATTATAATTAATTAATAATTTATAAGTTAATTAAAATTAATTAAAATAATTTTTAATTAAAAAATTAATTAATTAACATTAACCAATACATTAAATTAATAAATAATTATATTTTAATTAGGAGCAATCATAATATTTAAGATTAACTTTAATTAAAATTAAAAATATAATTAATTAAAATTAAATATACAATTTAATTATAATTAACTATAATTAATTATAAATGATTAATAATTAAATTAAAATAATTAACAATAAATTTTAATTAAAATATTTAAATGTTAATTTAAACTTAATTAAAAATTATTTAACCTCTCCCCTTTTTTTTCTCTGTTTGGGGATTTACCGGATTATTTAACCTCTTCCCCTTTTCTCCTGTAATGAGAATGTTAATGTTATGTGAAAAAAAGTGGCTAATGATACTAAAGAATATACGGAAAAGATGTGCTTAGCAGTATCAAAGGTAAAAACTCCTAATAGTAAAAATATAGTTGTTGGTGGAAATCCAAAATGTTGCAAGAAAATAATAAAAAATAACAAGATTAATTAAAAAAATTGGTTTAATTGTAAAAACTTTGATTAATTGGAAAAAAACTATTAAACAGGAGGCACCGTCTAAGGAAATCCTAAAGAAAATACATAATTGATGCGATTCAAATATCTTTAGCTTTTAGTGATTTATATAATAAAATTTAGATATTGAGGGAAAAAGATTATCATGTATCTTACGTTAGTCCAAACACAAAGACGATAGGCTAGCAGTAAGGATTTTATCTCTCTCTT